CTTCCACCCTTCGACTGAAGAACTTGGCTAGCAAACCGGCTCCAGATCTGAGGCACACCTGTTTGCATGAAATGCGGCCTGCATTCCATTCCTGGTAGTACTGCTCGCCCTGCTCAGTGGCCATGAAGGCATGCATTTCCTCATTCGTAATTCGAGCCGGCTATTTAGGGTCTAGGGTTTCCCAAAATTTGAAGTGCCATTTTGGGAATCTGGGGGTCCCCGTAATGCTTCCGTGCCATCGCCAGTGAGGCGGGAAAGTGTGAGTCTACAGGTTTCAAAGCTTGATGCGCATTTTGTGGCGGCGGCCGCTGGGCATTGGTGGACGAATACTGTGGCAAGACGTATTGCCCGCCACTTTTCTTGCCTAGCACATCAAGTGGGCGAGCAGGCCAAGCTTGTTGGATCCGGCAGCATGCAACTTTCTGTTTGCAGCATGGCTTTCTTAGTGCGCTGCCTCTCACCAGGTCCCGCCCCTATTTTTCGTAGCTTTTGCACCAACAATTAATTCCATATCGGGCTCGCTCATCTCATCAAATTTTGTATATTCCACTAGACTTTATAACCCTCATATTCTTAAGTCTCCGATGTCGAATAGATCATGACATACACACTTTGGATAAGCAGAGCTTGCACACACCCCCCCCCCCGCCCCCCACCTTGAGTCGCCAAACCCCAGAAAATCTTTGTTGCCGATTCGGAAGTGTCTAGGCGTCCTGTTTTTGAGAAGTTGCCCCTAAGCCTCGACAAGATCAGCAAAGCTCATGACTCACGTTTGCTTGAAATGACTACTTGAAATGAGCCACCCCTGTGTGTACTGCCGCCGCCCCGACTCCTTAATGCCTGGGTCGGCGGCAGCGGCGGCAGCAGCGGCAGCCCTGAAATCGGGCAACGGCTTGGGGTTTAGCTGGCCCTGGCTTTGCCAAGCAAACGACAACGTCGCCGACCCTGCATCATTCAGGGCCCCTCCCGGACCCCATTCCAAAACCACTCTACAATTCACAGGGTTGCAGGACTTATGGTGGTTTTATGCAGGTTTCTGCGGTTTTATACTGGTTCTATGATGGTTTTATAGGGTTTGTGTGTGGGTTTTTGCCCCCCCCCCACCATCATGTGAAAGCCAAGCCCACGCTGATGCCCCTGATTGAGAACGAAAAAACGCATGTTCTTGCTACCTGGAATGCTTTCTTAGGTTTGGAAGGTCCTGTTCTCTCTAGTTTAACTTCAACTGACAACGGCCCAAAATGAAGTCCCAATTGTGCTGATGATGTTCCTGTACGAGGCATGCGCGCCTAGTACAGAAGCATCATCAGCACAATTGGGAACCCCCAGGAACCCATTTTGGCTTAATTGGGACCGGAGGGGTCAAAAGCCCAAGAAAAGCCATCAATCAAAATACGAAGGCGGCAGGGCCGGCCCCTGCCGCTAGGCCCAAAAACGGCCCTGCCGCTGTAGTCCAGGGCGGAGAGCTTTATAGCCGTCGGTGCATCATCGGACTCAAAATCTACATCATGAGCACGGGCCGTTTTGAAAACTAGCCCCAAGCCCCCCGTGGGCACGCCTGCGAAAAATGTAGACTCCATCAGGGGTCATTGGGCGCATGGGATAGCAAAATTGGAGAAACGCAATCCCAATGATGCTGATGATGCTGGCCCCCTTGACCAGCATCATTAGCATCATTGGGATCCCGTTTCTCCTTCTGCCAGGCTTCTGTGCTGCCTGTGCCCACTGGGCCAGGCCTGATGGGGTCGGGTCGAAGGTTAATGATGGTATTACGTACGTTCTTGCAGATTTTATGCTGCTTTTAGGGGATTTGCGTGGGGGTTTTCAGGTCCAGTCTAGCGCTTGCTCATGGGGGGGGTTAACCTTGTCATTTGGGTTTTTGCTTATGGGGGGATCCATGCTATTTAATTTAAAGCTGGGATCCTGATCGATCCTGTTGAATTTTAAGATATTTTAAGTAAAACCGAAAAACCATGGATCGTTTGGGGGATACCCCCCTCCCCTCTCCATTAAATAGGGACCCACTTTGGTTTGGGTGGGGGGGCCCCCCCCTACACTAATCGGGACCGGCGCTGCTCCTGTCATGCCATGATCGTCGCCGTCGCCGTCGTCGCCGTCTTCTAGTAGTAATAGCAATAGTAGCAGTAGCGCAGCGGCCGCAGGCAGCAACCCGTTGCGAAGCATTACGTCAGGTTAAGAGCCATTTCATTCAACCCCCAACGATCCACATATCCCAAATACTTGGTGCATGTCTGCACGCTGGCCTACTGTTTGATGTTTGCTTGGCCTGTTTGCTTCGGAAATATGCATAAGCACAGAGTTTTGGCATGGTGCTCAAGTGGCGGGCGCTGCATCTGCAGCTTTACACGGTGCTTCAAGCGTGCTGCTTAGCGATCCAAACGCCAGAGCGGGTACTTTGTGGAATCCTTAAAGGGTTACACTATGGACAATATGGGCTTATGAAAATGATTTAACATAACAGCTAATCTAGGGTCCCTCAAGGTAGTAATTAGCCCCGACTCGAGGCGCTCCAACCAAAATAAGTCATCCTAGCTGGCAGCCTGTTGCTTGCCGATACCAAGGCTCCCCTGCATAATTCTTATGGAAATTCCGCACCGCCTACATAAGTTAGGTAAACCGCAGTCGCAGGAGCAGGCGCAGCAGTACTGGGAGAAGAGCAATAGCGGCAGTAGAAGCAGCAGTAGGAAGAGCTCTTGGTGCTGTAGCATCGATCAAATGCAGGATTGCTACCCGAAGCTGCTGAGCTTTCCTCAAAGGACGCTAAACCCCATCCAGGGCGGGGCACTTTGCACTGAAGTTTCCGTCGTTGAAGCCTGGCCAGACAGGGTGTTACTGAGACCTTGTGCAAGTACAGTGCGCACATCACCCTCGTCCCAGAACAACGATTCCCGCCCTCATCCATACGTGCACCATCGGAAAGAAGACGACTGTGGTTCACTGAAGCGGGGGGCTACTCTTGTCGGTGTAGGAGGCAGGCTAGCTGCTCTGCCGATGGATTCGCGCCCTGCTTTTGAAGTGCCCCTCTATCCCTTCCATTCACTTCTTGAAATATATGAGGTACGCGTCACTGACAAAGGTGAGCGCAGATTTTGGCTTCATACCGACACGCAGCAGTTGAGGGGCCTTGCACATCGTGCCGGTGGTTGCAAAGCACGCACGCTCATTGCCGCAGCTGGCGTCCCGCGTCACCTTGCATGCAGCTCCACGCTCGGTTGCTGCTTGTTTCATGTTTTGCGACGTGCCCCATAGTCTAAACTCCGAGTATTCCGCTTAATAATCACTATATAGTAGTCCCTATATCATCCCTTAACATAACCGTTATGGCTCATGTCACTTGCTGAGGGGGCCACCGGAATTATGGGATCCACTTGGCAGGCGGCCTCGCCCAGCTGGTAGGGGTCACGACCAACATGAGAAGAATGCAAACTGATACACAAAACTCATGACTTCGGAATGCCAGTAATGCTAGTAGATGCTACTTGTAGTAGCATCTAGCAGCATAAATGGCTTGCAGAAGCTGTTGCGAGTGTTGCAGGCTGGTGCATCCGCCTCTTCCAGAACCGAAGGAAACGCTTGCACGCCGATCTCGCGGGAGATCTCGCTCTTGCAGGCTCCTTTGGCAACATAAAGAAAGCCAAACAACAGCCACAAAGAGTCAGGTGTGCCGCGGCCCCACCTGGGATGAAGCCAGGGCCTGCCTGTGTGGACTGCTCCCGCTGGCTGATAGACTCGGGCCGGCCCTTCACGTGAACCACAGAAAAGTGAATCTCTGCGCAAAGCTCCCAAATGAGCCTGGTGGGACTGCGGCACAGCCTCCAGGCAGGCCTCGTGAGCACATTAACTTGCAAGCTCAGGGACTGAGGGAGCTCAGTCCAAGCTCATGGAAGGCCTTGTCTTCGGGTGAGAGCCCTTCGAAGCCTCGAGCCAGGAGTGGTTTGTCCATGCATCGTATGCTGGGAAGATGGCCACGGCCTGCAAGGCGGCTAAGCGTAGTCAGCACCACCACGGCAGCAGGCCCCAGACCCAGGCCGTCAGCAGCCTGGCTGTGCCCCTAACTGTTTTAAAGCACCCATAAGTGTCCAGGCTGTGTATAGGGGCTCCGACCCTAGGCCGCAGCTCCAGGCGGTACTTTGTGCCAGGACGTAGATGGGTCAGCTCGTGTCGAAGCTCTGATCGCAGACCTACGCAGCACGCTCAACACGTCAACGCCACCATCAAGGTTGGTGAGGCCTTGCTTCTCCAAGTGCGACATCTCGAGCAGCTCCACACGAAGCCTTGACCTGCCATTTCATGTCTCCCTTGCCCCTGCTATGTGTATCCTAAGTCTGGGCCACAGGCCATAGCTCTCTGCTGGAGTCTCCGCGGAACTCGCTGATGGTTAGCTGGTACTCCCGGGGCTGCACCTGCCGAGTTTGGGAGAATAAGGGGAAAAATAACAATCGTAGTAATACATGTCTTTCATAATAGAAATATTGCAAAGAGGATAGCAAATGTCATACTACGTAATAGTAATAGCATTTGTAATAATAGCTATGGCTCTGGATGTTTTAGAAATTGCTGGCCTCTGCAGGCGGCCGGGTCCAACGCACCGCGGCGGAGGGTACCAAGGCAGGAACTGGCTCCTCACATGACAAACGGTGTCACCGTAAACTGGTTCTTTTGGGATAATAGGAAAGAAAATGGAAACTGTAGGGGTCATATAGCGTTTATAGGGATTATATAGGGGTAAGAGAGGGGTTATTATTAAACTGGCGCGTTGCTTTGGGAGACCTGCCTCAGCTCTCAAGTTTTCAGGAGCAAACACAGCGTAGCTGGTCTGCACACCTGAAGCTCATCTTTTCGGCCCAAGGGTAAAGAAAGCACCCAGCTAATCGCCCCTCTTCTTCCTGCCTGCAGGTAGCAGTGCAGGCGCGCTGCACTGAGACGGCGCATCTTGCACCTTCTTCCTTTCAGAAGAGCACTTTGTGATTCACCCTTCTTCATGAACATGACCATCCACAACCAAGGATCTCTAGTGTCTGCGTGCCCAGGCTAAACGTGCTGAGACAATCCGGACCGACCTGCGTAAGCAGCGATCAACATGAGCGTCAGCTTCAGGGATTCTCCAAGTCTTGCAAAGGACCCTTTGGCACCTGATGGGCCGCCAGCTCTCGAATGGGCACCTCAGCATCAGTTGACAGCAACAGTCGTGGAGGATCGTGGAGGTCAAAGCGAAGATAGCTCCACTCAGGACTTCTGCAGTCCTAAGAGGCAAACCTGCTTGTGGCAGCGGGGGCCTCAGCTCAGCACTGAGGTCAGAACAAAATGCGGGGAACAAATGACAAAGGTCGCCACATTCAGAAATGACCATTCGACACTGATCCTTCTGGTGTGCAGCGAGCTCGCGCATTGGCAGTGTCATGCTGCAGAGGCCACACTGCACTGGTGGACCTTGGAAGAGTCAGCTCAGGAAAACCGCTCAGCGGCCGGAGCGGCCGGAGGGCCAAAGTGCTAGCTAGGGCACTGCCAACACGATAACTCATCAAATCACCAGCCGTCTGCCATTGCTGTCGGTTCTTGATGTCTGAAGTCAGCACCTGAAGCCGAGAAGCCAGTCTACTCAGTCCATGTCAGCACTGGTTGGTCCGCTGAGCCGTTCGCCACCGTCATGAGCAGCACCTTCAACAAAGGCGTGCTGGCACTTGCCGAAGAAGGTCCGAAGAAGGAAATACATTAACTACATCATGTAGCCAAGGAAGGCACGCCCTCGCCGTTGGCATGGGCATCAAGCTCAGGCTGCACCACCGCTTCCCCTACGAGCTTGCCCCTGCAAGGGTTGCACACCAGCGCACGGTCGAAAAGGACACCGCACAACACGAGGCAGGGAGGCTGGGCGTCGCGGGTGAGCATGTGTGGTGGAGCGCAAAGCGACCCCCAAGCTATCCACGACCTGCGACGCGAACTATCGCGGAAGAACATTGATCATGCTTGAAGCTGAGCTGCAAAAGTGGCTCAAACAACCTTCCGGCTTATAAGCTGTACCGCCATCTACTGTAACGAATGTTTGAGACTTTCTGAGAGGAGTACTTTGAGGCAGCAATGATGTCCAAGCCAGAACCACGGCCAATACGCCTGCGTGCAAGCATTCACTCGAAACCCTTCGCGCTTAATATCACCATGCATGGGGCGGATGGGACATGTCCACAAAGGCTTGCCAGAGCGCACCGCAACTTCTCGCCATCCAGCACCATCAGGTACACAGACTTCTCGCCGAGCTGCTTGACGAGCGGCCTCTTCACTAGAACCAGTGCTGGCTTCATTCTTTGCTTCCCATGTTACACCATGTGCGGCTCCAGCGCCTGACATCATACCGCACAACGATGGAGTAGGGAGGTTGCTGCGTGGCCAGACCGCTGGAGTCTCTGAGTTGGAGCAAAGACCTGCAGGCCACAGGCCAATTTCTGGGAGAGCACCAAAGAACAGGAGGAAGCCCGAAGCCTCCTGCAGAAGTGGCCAGGCCAAAGTGGGGGTGGCCAGAGCTCGTCCTGATGCTCCTGACACGAGCAATGACTAATGATTAATGATCGTTTCGTGCAAGCCCAACCGATCCAACAGCAGTCCCGCACCTTTGGCACCTCGGCTAGACATCGCTCCAGCTGCTCCAGGCTGTCAGAGTTGGCGGAGAAGTCTGTGGACTCAACCTTGCATGGAGCTCAAGGGCACCGCTGCGACGGCTAAAGCAAAGCCACCCCATAATTCTCCGTTGCAAGTCGCAGTGGGGCCGCTCGCAATTGCAGAAGCCTTCTTGGCAGGTGCCGTATGAGGCCGGTCCATGGCTCATTATCAGGAAAAAGGCATGGCTGGCACGGAAGCTGTTGAAGGGTTTTCTAGCATTTTGACAGACCGCACTGGCAATAGTGAGCAGTCGTCTGCTTTTTGATCTTGCGCAGCCCCTAGCTATAGAACCACTACTTTTGCCGCACGACGTCAGTCACTGCATCAAACCATTCCTCCTTGTATCTGGCTGAACCTGTAGTGCATACATCTAAATAGGTGGCCTAGACTGGATTTCGTTCCAAACCACCATCCTACTTGCATCTACGCCCTGAGGACTGTGGTGTAAGCAACGGAGAAGTAGCAAGGCCCGCATGCACTCTGATTGGACCCTGTCCGCTACCAGTTTTCAGGATTGCGTGCAGACGTGTTGGCAGCAGGCTTCGCTTTTCACCCTGGTCGGCTGACAGCTCTGCGTCCAGCGCGTAAGGCGTTAGACTGCCTTTACAGGAGAATAAACGGCGAAGCAAATGAGACTCGGGAGGGTCATCAGTTGGCCCCCGCTTGTGGGAAGCCTGGCCGCGACTCCATCGCCCTGCCGAGCGGATGACCCTGCTCAATTGGGAGATGTCTCATGCCAGCCACATGCAGCGTCTGTTTTTTCTGTTTTGTGTTCGGCCTTGTGCCGAACGCCAAGTCTTGGCAAGACTGAGGCAGAATTCAGGCTATGGGTCCTGAAGGAAGAAGGGACCGTACCACCGCGGTGAGGCTCCCAGCGGAGTACTGATCTTTGGTAGATCACACCAGGTAACCAAGCAGGTTCTCACATTACCAATCCGTTCAGAGTAACGGCTATGCTGTTGAGTTGGCCTCGACTTTGCGAGCATTAGCATGAAGACTTGCTTCCGTGCCGGCGAGCTGCTGACTTTTGCTGCCGCTGAAAATGATCCATCTATCAGCATCTACCCCAGGCCAAGTGGGATGCAAGTCCTTACAGGTGAAGATGTCACATAAAAATGAATGAATTCGCTCGTCGCTGGGAACGGAAACGGAAGATGCGACGGATGAGATTCTGTGACAAGTCCGTCCTCGCGCTGGTCCGTGCACATGCCCAGTACAGGCCAAAGGAGGCAGCCTTGCCCAGGCTCCGTCGGACCAAACCGAATCAAACCGCCTTCTCTTGCGTCTCTGGCTCGGGGGGAATGCAGGCCTTGGTCCGAAGACCCCGGCCGCAGATATCTTCGAAGGTGTTCGGATCGCCTGCTTGGGAATTGCGCAGAGCACCCACCGTCAGCAAGGAGATCTGGGCCTCCAGGGCCTGGACTTTTCTCGTCAGCTCCTCAAGGCGATCACCGCCATCGCCTCGCGCTCCTTCGCCTGCTTGAGGCCCTTCCACCCCTTCAACCGATTCGCCCTCGGGGGCATCTGTGGAGGCCTCGCTAAGACCTGGATTTGACGAGGAGGAATCGTTCCTTCCCAGCGACCACCAAACTGTTTTCTTAACCTCCAGATACCGGGATCGACGGCTCAGGTCTTGCCGCATCTTCGACAGCCCGAACAATGTGGCTTTGTGAGTGTTGGTCTCCAAGCTGCCATCGTCGAACTGGTGCTCCCAGAAATCCTCACGCGGTTGCAAAAAAGAGCTTCAACCTTCCACACCAACATACATACATACCGCAAACACGCGGACAGACGTACCTTTCCAAACGGACACAACAGCAGTAGCCGTGTCCAGGCCGATCAGCTCGCAGGCCCTTGAGACGCGAAAGCCGAAGAGAGCGTCGACCACCATCACGATCACGTATGTGCAGACGAGGGAGATTGCCGAAAGCACCAAGATCCCCAGGGCCTGCGCAGGGAATGAAACGGCTAGGGTTCAGGGAGAACCTGAAATGAAGCACAGGATTGTCAGCCCAAACTCCTATCTAGCAAAGCATTCAAGACATCTCGTACACTTTGCTTTCATACTGGCATATGGCTGCAAAAAGGCATCTGCTCCTGTAATAAAGTGGCAGCTGAAACTTAGAGAGGGCCTGCACGCCCAGAAGACGCCAGGCTGCCTCGCCCCCTCCAAAGAAGAGGCCGGTTAGCTCAAGGCTGTCCGCACAGTGCTTGTCAGCAAAGAGAGCCACCGCCAGCGTTCCCCAGGCACCGCTCGGCCCGTGTGCAGCAACCTGAGCACAAATCGTCACAGAAGCATCTGAAAAAACAGCATTTCCTCTCTGCTTCCCTAAGCCTTAAAGACCTTCAAAGTCTCCAACTCTCTCATCCCAGGCGCAGCTCCAACCGCATCGTCAATTTGACAATACACCAACAGCTCCTCAAAGCTCAGCGTGAGGAGGGCCGCCACAAAGCCCACAAGCGGCGCAAGGGGTACTGGAATCACTGTGCAACATGCGCAGCTGGCCACCAAACCTCAATGCAAGCTGATAGCAACCCTCGCTTGGTGAAGTTTAGTGGACTGCTGTCAGTCTGAAAGAAAGCTGTCTATGCTCCAAGTAAGTTGTTCTCCCTTGGGCGCCAATGCAGCCACAGGGCCTCCGATGACCGCATTTGTCAGCTCCGGCACACGGACTACTGCGGCTCGCGCTGAGGCAATGGAGTAGATCATGCCTCATCATGCTGACTGCTTTACCGCTGCATCTTCCGACTTTACTCGCAGCCAGCCTCCCACTCCTGCGCCTGCAGCTGCAAGAAGCGTTGTGACCTCCAAATGGCTGAGAAAGGTACTTTTTGTTACTATTACCATTACTATTACTATTACTATTACTATTACTATTACTATTACTATTACTGTTAAATTACTATTACTATTACTATTACTATTACTATTACTATTACTATTACTATTACTGTTAAATTGCTATTACTATTACTATTACCATTACTATTACTATTACTAT